AATGATGTATATGGTGGAACTGCTGTTTACGCTCCGCAGGAACAGAGCACGCACCAACGTCAACAGAGTGAGGCAATGGGACAAATGATGACATATCCCGAAGGTATGCAACCAGGTGGTCGACCGTCAATGCAACAAGGGCGCCAAGGACGGGGAGTGCTGGTCAAGAACAACCGCAAGTTTACTGAAGCGTACGACCAAGAGCAAGGGCCGGCTCATCACAGCGGAAGGTCCGGGGCCGTCAAGAAGGTCCAAGATTTCTTCCGTCGACGTCGAGCTCCGACGGACGGCGGCGATTATCGATGAATGAGCCAGCTGCGCCTAGACATGTCGTTTTCCCTTTCTACAGAAGAGGGTAAGAAGATTTGGCCGAGGACTTGGTGGATTGGGTCAAAGGGTGGATATCGACTTTTCTTGTAATCAATTAATCATTGGCGGACAACATTGTTTTCCCCGTCGCGCCCAAGCTGGGTGCGCGTTTGGCGGAGACCTTTGCATTCAACAACCACCATTTTGTCTTCCTTCCACCCACCAGGGCGAGGGTGGCGGTTGAAGATCGGGCAAGAGCACGAATGGCATTGGAATTGGAGGGTCATTCTATGTGTCAGTACAAAGAAGTCAGATTCATGTCGTTAGCTGGCGGCGTTCGTTTTTTCGCTGGTGAAGAGATGGGGGATTCAAGAGGGTTTGACTGTTGAGACCTGCACTGGAGCTCCGAAGGGCCTGCTTGGGCTTGACATTTGGGGGCTTTTACTTCTTTGCTGGCATGGATTGTTGAAGAGACTCTTGGGATCGGAAAGATGGATACCCCCCTACGTAGCATTGTATGAGTGTGTTTTTAAAAGGAAGGATGCACAAGCCAAAACAAGCCCAAGCACAGATCGCAAATCACAAATCCAGAACCTAAGAAAGAGGTTGTCTCGGCATATTGCTCGGTGTATTTGGGGCCTGCCTCTATCCTCTTTTGCCATGTCGCCGTCTTTTGCGCCCATGGGATCTCGTCATCGCACGACCCCAAGTCCAAGCTTGTTCCAGTTGGGCCAAGCTTTGTGGGGTTCGCCACCAGAGCTTGTTCCTGGCGAGCTCCATCTGCTTGGCTGCCACCTACTGTGACCTTGTTGCCGTTGTGCGCCTCACCTTTGCCCTTTTCTTCACTAGACGCTCACTTCCTCCCCGCAATATGCAAGTCCACAGTCGACCTTCAACGTCACCCTGCCACCTGCCCGCCTGGAGCCCTGGAAAAGGTACCCGCTGGAGAAGAGATGGTTTGTCTACACACATGCAGCTGGCATAGAGCTTCCAGAAACAGGGCCTGATTGTCCTCGAGGGGAACTTTCCAACTGGTTGCTCGCCCGTACAGAGGCAAGAGGTTACATGGCGAAAATCCAAAGCGCCTCGCCCGTGACCAGGGCGCCGATGATGAGGGCGCCACTGACGAGCGTTCTCAAATGCATCATCTGTCTGGTCATCGTCCTATGCGCAGTCACCGCAGTCCATCGGCTGGTCCCCTCTCAGTGAGTTCCCACCGGCCCCCAACGCAGTCAACCTTGCTTCGCTTGATAAAACCCTCTCTGCCTCTCCCCATCCTTTGGAACATGCTCGAGGCCACCCTCACCTTTGTCGTCACAGTGTCGGATCGTTTCTTCAGCACTCGCTGCTTATCGAGGGAGACTGCAAGATGAGGTCTCCGTCGGCGCTTTCTCTCCTCCTTCTTGCTCCTTGCATTGCGATAGCCCAGTCGTCCACCGCGAGCAGCGTTGCTGCGCAGTTCACTGTCCCAGCAAGTGCTGACGACGGCGTTACCCTTCTCCCCAACATCGCTGACCCTACTGCGCCCGATGCCCAAGTGAAATGTCCTGGCTATACCGCCTCAGAAGTGAGCACGTCTTCAATTGGATTAGCCGCTCATTTAACCCTGGCTGGAGCTGCCTGCAATGTCTATGGCACCGACGTCCATGATTTGGACCTGAAGGTCGAGTATCAGACCTCCTCCCGGCTCCACGTCAACATTCGGCCCTCCCACGTTACTTCTCAGAACCAGAGCTGGTATCTTCTGTCGACCGAGTACGTCCCTGCTGGCAGCCAGGGCAGTGGCTCAATGACCACAAGCGATTTGACATTTTCCTGGGCAAACACTCCCGACGCGGGATTTGGATTTAACGTAACTCGCAATAGTACTGGAGATGTCTTGTTTTCAACGACAGGGACAAAACTAGTCTTCGAGAACCAATTCATCGAGTTTGTCACACACCAGCAAGAGAACTATAATCTCTACGGTCTGGGCGAGGTCATTCATGGTTTGAGGCTGGGCAACAACCTCACTCGGACAATTTACGCTGCCGACGTTGGTGATCCAATCGACTCAAACTTATACGGGAGCCATCCGTTCTACCTCCAAACCAAGTACTTCGAGGTCGGCAGCGACAACCGTACAACTCTAGTAACGGGACAGCTCGACACAACTGAAGCTACAAGCAATTACACCTCCTCCACCCACGGTGTGTACTTCCGCAATGCTCACGGAATGGAAGTCCTCTTGGGAGCCAACAACGTGACCTGGAGAACGTTGGGCGGCAGCATCGACTTGTACTTCCTCTCGGGACCGACACAACGGGACGTGACACATCAATATCTGAATGTCATAGGCATGCCGATGCTGCAAAACTATTGGGGATTTGGTTTCCACCAGTGCAGATGGGGCTATCAAAATTGGTCTGTCACAGAAGACGTCGTCAACAACTATGAACGCTTTGGTATTCCGCTTGAAACAATCTGGAATGATATCGACTACATGTTTCAATACAGAGATTTCGATAACGATCCAGTCCGCTTCAACTACTCTGCCGGAAAAGCTTTCCTCCAACGTCTTCACAGCAGAGGCCAACATTATGTCCCCATCATTGACTCTGCCATCTATGTTCCCGATCCAACAAATGCAAGTGACGCATATCAGCCGTTCAATGACGGTAATGCCACCAATTCATTCCTCCTCAACCCAGATGGATCACTGTATATTGGCGAGGTCTGGCCTGGTTATACCGTCTTTCCGGACTGGTTCCAAGCATCCGCGAAAGCATGGTGGAAGAATCAGATGGTCACTTGGCACCAAAAACTTCCCGTCGACGGCGCTTGGATTGACATGAGCGAAGTGTCATCGTTTTGTGTGGGAAGTTGTGGCACTGGAAATCTTACTCTCAACCCAGTACACCCACCGTTCAAACTCCCTGGTGAGCCTGGCAATGTCATCTACGATTACCCAGAAGGCTTCAATTTGACCAATGCCACCGAAGCCGCATCAGCTTCTTCGGCGTCTCAGGCTCAAGCTACTCCGACAACGACAGCCACAGCGTCAAGCTCAACAACATCGTCTTCATCGACGACAAGCTACCTGCGCTCAACGCCAACGGCAGGGCAACGCAATATCAACTACCCCCCATACGTGATCAATCACGTCCAAGGAAACCATGATCTGGCGGTGCATGCCGTCTCTCCAAACGCCACGCACCACAACGGCATCCAAGAATATGACGTCCACAATCTTTTCGGCCACCAAATCCTCCAAGCAACCTACGCCGCCCTCCTGGCCGCGATCCCCAACAAGCGACCTTTTGTGATCGGCCGGTCCACATTTCCCGGCTCTGGCACCGTGGCGGGCCATTGGGGCGGTGATAATGCTTCGAAATTTTACTACATGTACTTTTCGATCCCTCAAGCCCTTTCCTTCAGCTTGTTTGGCATCCCGATGTTTGGAGTCGATACCTGCGGGTTTAACGGCAACTCGGACGAAGAACTCTGTAACCGCTGGATGCAACTTTCTGCCTTCTTCCCCTTCTATCGTAATCACAATGTCCTCTCTGCGAACTCCCAAGAGGCGTATGTTTGGAGCAGCGTCATCGATGCCACCAAGATTGCCATGGACGTGCGATTCCAATTATTGCCGTATTTGTACACGTTGTTTTACTATGCGCACACACAGGGTGATACGGTCATGCGTGCTCTTGCGTGGGAGTTCCCCAATGATCCCAGCCTTGCGAACGCAGATAGGCAGTTCTTCCTGGGCCCGTCTATCCTCGTCACCCCGGTCCTGACCCAAGGCGCGACTGCCGTAGATGGCGTATTCCCAGGCCTCGTCGAAGGCACCGACACGTACTACGACTGGTACAACAAGTCGCCCGTCGCGGTGCCCAGCAGGAAGAACACAACCATCGACGCACCCTTGGGCCACATCCCTGTGTTCATCCGAGGCAGCAGCATCCTGGCGACGCAGCAGATGGCCATGACGACGCGCGACGCCCGCAACACGTCCTGGAGCATCATCGTCGCCCCGGGCGTGGACGGCACTGCAAGCGGATCTCTATACCTGGACGACGGCGAAAGCCTGGTCCCGAAGGCGACCAAGATGGTCAGTTTGACGAGCTCGACGTCGCGAAACGGAACACTGAGCCTTAAAGTGAATGTCTCGGGATCCTACACCGGCCTCGACCTCCCCTTGGCAAATGTCACCTTCTTGGGCGTGCAGAGCCCGCCTTCCTCGGGAGCTGCCGTCACCATCAACGGCCGCGCCGTCGCAAACGCGACGTACAATACCGCCAGCAAGGTCTTGAGCGTCACTGGCCTGGGCAATGCGCTGGGAGGAAAAGTCTGGGGTGGGAACTGGACGCTGACGGCGTGATTTGATTACCTACCTACCTACTTAACGAGATATGTAGCCATGGAGGGATGCATAAACAAATGAACGACGCGCTGGACAAAAAGGAACAGTGTCACAGTGACAGTCAGACTCGGATTCAAAAGGTTCAAAAAGTCGAAAATTTCGGAGTGGAACCAGGGGGGGAGGGAAGGACAATACTGTGGCTTCCGAACCTAGAAAGATTGTTCAATGATGACCATACAAGTCAAGAAATTATATAATTGTTTAAGAATAATCGTTAAAACAGTATATATGTGCGGTATGCGGACTATATATAGGCCTCCCTATCTAAGTTGTTCCGTGTCCATCGTCAATTTCCACCAACCCCCATCGCAACCACCACCACCAACTCCTCCTCCTCCTCCTCCTCCTCCTCCTCCTCCTCCTCCTCCTCCTCCTCCTCCTCCTCCTCCTCCTCCTCCTCCCCCCCCTGCTGCTGCTGATGCTGCTGATGCTGCTGCTGATGCTGCACCTGCCCCTGCTCTGTTCGCGTCCCGGTTATGCATATTTTGTCCAAAAGCCCAAAATACCGCACGCACCGTAGCCTCGACTCTCTAGTGCCGTCCTTCCAACCCTTACCTAGACGCTAGAATAAGACATTCTCTGTCCTCCACGCCGGAACGCCGCTAGTCTCGACATGCGCGGGGCTCCGTGGGAGGAAGAGAGATGTCGAGATAGATCTCGTCGTTTCCCCAGAAGGGGAGACCCCTCGTCTTCATGATGATTTCTAAATGAGGTCTGACAACGGTTCATTGAGCTCCAGCGCGGGGTACTTTTGGTGGTGTATTTCGTCAAAAGGCGAGGCCTGACCTGTGTCGAATGAGGCCCGTATAGTCTCTAAATCCTTAGTCAATGCAAACGCCAGTGATTTCGGAACCGTCGAGAATGACATGGACTGTCTTCAAGCTGTATATTGGGCTTTTCTGGGCACTGGCTCCGAGGCGGATACAGGTGTTGTATTTCAGGATAGCGCCTTTGGACAAGAGCCAAGTCGCCGATACAAATGTGACAGTAGTCTAACGCTCCTCTCGCTCATCTGAGCCAGAACCATCACTTTTCTTCCGAGAGTACAAGGTGGCCGTAGTCCTCATCGTCAAGTTCCCCAGCAACGTGTTTGGAATCAGATACCTTCTAGTTGAAAGAGATGACTTCCAGGTCCAGTGATCCGCGGGATGAACTGGAAGTTGTTCAGTGAGGCTCAGTCATACCGACCATGAGGAATTTCAACGCCCGCCCCGTTTTGAGGTCTGGCTGCGCCGTGGTCACTTGGGTTAATGCCATGGGTACCTTTGCTCCCGTTCTGGCTGATTTGAACTCTCGGCATCTTTTTGAGGCGCCGACAGACCCTCTTTGATATTACTCACAGGACTTCCTGGGTAGAGGCTTACAGGAGTTCAGGTGGGATATCCTGAGTCTTCGCAAGCAGGCCCCGCGAAGCTGCTCCAAACTTTTCGGTCACGTCTCGCACATACAACGGTCAAAGGTTATCTCCGTGATCTGAACATTTGATTTACGTAGATTTGACGCGCTGGCTCTGATGTCTCCCACAAGTCTTCTACATGTCAAATATGATCCTCTCAATTGTAACAAGAGAGTTTCGGGTCCGATAATAGCCCCGCGCGTGTCCATAACGGTGCCCGAAGTGTCAATAACCGTCTTCTGAGTGCGTCGAACGACTTCGTGGGTGTCGTCCATGGCGCCGATCTGCGCAGATTAGTTCTTCCTGTTCATCGTATTTGTTAGAGCGGGAAAAGTATGGTCCTTGCCCTGGGTCGCGTAAGGTGGTTTTTCAGCATGTTTGCGCACCTCATGATGTTTGCGCGGCATTGTAGAAGCGCTGACCTGGCTCTTTCAAGAGCGCGAAGATGCTTTGCCAATTCCGAGCGTTTTAGAGCTGCCCTAGAGTGTTGCCGCATTTTCTTCCATTCTGAAAGATTGCTGGGCGGCTCAACGGCCTTTACCGTTGCCGATAGTCCAGTGATAACTTGCGCAAAACAGCGCAAAACCTTCTCTAGGTCAGCATCCTGAATGTTCTAGGGTTGATGGATGGTAATAAGAGTGGAGGTGATGATCGGAAGCTCATTGGACAAGGATCTGATCTCAGCTGGTGCACCTCTGATGTCTTTGAAGAAATTGTAGAGAAATGCTAAGCCTTGTGCCAGTTGTAAAGCTTCTGTCAAGTTTCATAGGTAGATCATCCAGAGATTTGGAGAACCAGATGCAAGTCGGAGACATCGGGCAACTCGATGAAGAGAAAAAGGGACATATTGTCCGAGCACGGTTGAATAGGAGGTGTAGCCGTAGCCTAAGACATGATCGTGGGCGCCTGGGGTCGACATTGCGGCGACCAGTAATCCAGCACAAGGCACTGAACCGGGCGTCAAGGCTGACTGCTACACTGATCGTTTCAGTGGAGGGAGAGCCAATAGCTGTTTGCCAGCACCCAACACCCCTCGGAAAAAATGCCTTCTGTGGTCAGTCGGATGAGCCTAACGTTTGTTGTTCTCAATGGCAGAGATGGCAGTACAAAGTGGAGCTGTCCGCTAATGCTGACGAAACCAATGTCCATTTCGACGTATGTGCGACTGGACACGAGGCAACCAACCTGTCCTGACAACCGGGGGTTGAAGCCCCTAGGCAGTCGTCTGCCGCTGGCAAAGCGTCTAGTCGACGAGGCGATGGCAGTGGCAACGCCACGGTGTAGGAGGACATGACAAGATTGGACAGGAAATGTTCCATGCAGTGCGGCTGAGGATGGAAAGGCTAGAAGTTGAAGTTGAGGTTGAGCAGGTTGAGGCAAGGCAAAGCAAGACAAGACCCGCTATCGTAACTCAGGCTAGCGAACGGGCGGAAAGGTCACAATGACCCTGTCCAGGTTGGTGGTTAAGCCTTTTCTGTATGAAGTGTCTGTCTCAGTCCGAAGTAGAGAGTTAGAACTGGAGACTAACTACAAGAAAAGGAAAGAGAGGGGCTCCAGTGCTAGTCCCGGAATGGGCTAGTGTGTTAATATGGAGCCACGTGACACACCACCAAGAGCAACTCTCTTCCCTTCTTCCTCAACGGATCCCAGCAGCCCCTAGATCTATTCTGACTTTTCGCGTCCTCTAAAACACGCATAATGATATAAGGCATTCCCAAAGGGAGGAATGTGGCGAAACATGCTCCGACTATCCTCAAGTCTTTTCTCACATTTCGTACTTGCATTGTGTGTGGCCTTGTATTCCGGTCCTTCGGCTCTCCAGGCGCTCTCCCCCTGCGACCAGGCTTCTCTTTACGGCACAGCTCTGATTGGTACATGGGCACAGTTGAGGAGTCAATGCCCGTTCCGAAACCCGTCATGACGGGGCCGGTGACAAGGTGAGGGATAGAATAGGCAGATATTTCCAGAGAGGCGCAACGAGGACGAAGCTCTGGTGGAAAAGGGCGAGTGGATTAGCACTGGGTGCGGCTCAGGAACGGGAGGATATGGGCAAGAAAAGCCAATGAAGCGAAAGTATAACACAATACTCAGTGGCCAATCTTGACTCTCCAAAGTCCATTCTGGTTTCCTCCACTGAGTATGCCGCCATCCGAGCTGGGTTATAAGTAAGTCATTTTTGAGCCTGACTATGATCCTAAGCTGGGGCTTGGTGGCCCTTGAGTAGGCTCGAGGATCCCTAAGTCGACCTGAAGGAGGCAAGAAGTGATTGTGCAGGGACCGCAACTTGGCCCGTTTCGCGCAGGAATGTTCCTCGTCTTCGGGTTCCGTCGTGCTCGAAGCGTCCAGTTCTGCAACCCCTTTTCTCGGGCATTGTTGGCAGGAACGCTGTCGAGGATGCGTTTCCAGTCAAACTGCTGCCAGGGAGGGTGGTAGCCTTTGATTCACCAGTGTTAGTGTTTGCAGCTTTTACACTGTTTGTCTTGTTTGATAAAGATCGACAACCATGCCCCGGCTGCAAAGGGGTTTCCTTAACCGGCCTCGGGTGTTCCTCCTGATCAGGTCTCTTGTCACCTTCGGATTCGAAGGGTTTTAAGATCGATACTCATCGCGCCGTCGAAAAGAAACCCCACAGAAGGCAGAGCGGCGGAGTAGACAGAGTCTGGGCAGTTGAGGTTTGTTGGCAGCTCGGGGTCTATGAGAATAATCGAGTTGATGCTGATGCGCCCATAATACTCGTCAAGGCTACACGAGACAAGATATAGAGTATTTAAAATATAAATCTCCAGGAGAATAGTATCTTGGCCGTAGCGCACACGAAAGATGAGATGGCCGCAACCACTAGACACAGACGGTATGAGGGATGTCATATCAATAATAGAACCGCCCCTATCAAACGAAATATGGCCGGCTGGGGAATCCTACCATTTTCCTGGCAAAAAGGAGGCTAGAAGATTTGAAGACCCTACAACAGAGCCGAATAAAGAGGCGAGAGAGCCGACAATATAAGGTATGTTGTGAGGTCTTGGTGGACGCCCGCCGTGTTTTGGCCAACACTCCAAGTTGAATTGGCGACATCTTCGACCATTGGCTCTTGGCATCCAGGCAGCAGCGAGCCTGACCCCAGCAAAGGACATAAGATCTTTGTGGTTTCCTCCATCTCATATCAGCTCCATTTCCTTCAACGAGCGTGCGAGCCCGCCACATCTTTGAGCTGCACAACTTAACCTCTGAGCGCGACAAATTCTTGAATCAAATCGGATGGATCTGGGAGCCTCCCACCTCCGAGCAGACGGGCCCAGTGAGACTCCGCTCCGGATTGCGTTCGATAGGTTCAACAACACTCTGAGTAGCAAAGAGAGGGCACTATTCACGGCTGCATCCCTGAATGATGTCCTTCTGAAGGTCAGAGAGATTGACCATCGCCACGCCAAGTCAAGCAAGCTCCGCTTGATCACCCAAAGGCTTGAGCACTTCCTCAACTTCCTACAGCGGTACTCAAGAGCTGTCGACTGCTTGGTTCAGGCTCAGTCTAATCCGTCAGCTTTGATATGGGGGGCTCTGAGAATAGTCTTGGAGGTAAGGCCCGCCTCGCATGGGGAATCGTCTGATTCACGATTCGATCCGAGGCGGCAGGATCCTTCTCGGAATATTTTAGGAAGCTCGTTTCCATGATTGAGCGACTTGGAGACTCGTTGTCCGTCTATCGCCAATACGAAGAGCTCTTCGGCCACAACGAGCGATTCAAGATTGCTTTGACCAACGTATACTATCATGTCTTGGTCTTTTTGAAGCAGGCCAAAGATGTCTTTACGTCAAAGGGTTAGACGAACAGCTACCGGCTCTACTAGGACCTTCTGTCATACTAAACTGGCTATTAGGATTCCGATTATTTGGCAAGGTCTTCTGGCAGCCTTTTGAGAATGAGTTTCAGAGCACCCTAGAGTCTATTTCTCGACACACCACTCAGTTACAAGAAGAGATCTCGCTCGCCCACCGAAAAACAGTTCAAGACACCTTGGCCAACCAGGTCGGATTGCAAGTGTCTACATGTGAGGGCCTCAGGAGAATCGAGGTGAGTTACGCGACACTAGTCTTACCTGTGTTTTAAAAACGGGAGCAAGCTCTCATATATCAATCTCCCTGCCCTATGAGCAAGTCCCTTTCTGAACGTCTTCCTAGGCTCAGAGTTTTCCGAGGCAAAGGTTGATGGAGTGGCTCTCTCCGGTTGACATGGAAGAAGTTTTCCTTCGGGAATCTCAACGCCGCTGCGAACCATGCGGTCACTGGCTGCTTGATCAACAACCATACCGTGACTGGTTGGAAACATCCAATCCAAGATTAGTTTGGATCGCAGGCCCTCCAGGCGCTGGAAAAACCGTTCTGAGTGCGTCGATCATTGAATCGGTCCGAAAGGCTATCCTTGCTGATCCTCAAATCATCTGCGCCTTTTTCTACTGTGACAAGAAAAAAGAAAATAACCAGTCAATTTGTACCGTGCTGGTAAATCTTCTGGCTCAAATTCTGGCTCACCTTGAGGACATACCCACATTTATCACCGCTGTTCATGAGAATGCCATCCGTTTTGGGCGATTTAAGATGGCTGCTGCCGACATGCCTCTTGCGCTGTTGAAAAGGCTGATTAAGTCGGTGAAAAAGGTCTACCTTGTTATCGATGGCGTGGATGAATTCAAGGACCCGGTTCAAGTCGTTGACACTGCGCTGGGGCTTATCGAATCCTTGCCAAATGTCCAGATCATCCTCCTCAGTCGAGATGACCCTAGGATCAAGACCAGGACGGAACAACATCTGAGGATCACTATGACTCCTGCTGAAACGAGCCATGACATGGCCAAGTTTATCTCCAAAGCAATCAACCAACTTGGAATTCCTGAGGGAACCTGTCGTAAGGACATCGAAGACCAGATCCTGCGACGCGCTTCCGGAATGTTTCTTTGGGCGCATCTTGTGATCGAATCCCTGAAACTGGCAACCTCATCTCGCGAAATAGTGGACATTCTAAATCATATGCCCACAGGTCTTGAAGTGATGTATGGTGCCATTCTCGAGAAGCTGGCACGAGGACCAGCCGGACGACAAGCCCTTGCAAAAAAGATCCTACTCTGGATTCGTCTGTCGGCTCGGGATCTGCATTGGAACGAACTAGAGTCCGCAGTAGCAGTGGAGATGTCGTCGGCTGGAATGCTTGAGCTCAACCTACCCTTCAAATCGTCAGCTTTGGAACTTTGCAGTCCACTAGTGGAGTATCGTGCCGAGCAAGATATCTTTCGCTTGATACATGTTTCAGTTGGCGAATTTCTCAGTAGTTCTCACTTTCATTACCAAGTGGACGATGCAATCCTGCCATTTTTGATTTCTGAAGCAGATGGGCACCAAGAACTGGCAAAGACTTGCCTCCGGTATCTCTCGTACGTTGCTTGTCAGGTTGTGATTGATCCTGCCAGGTTTCCGCTGTTGGATTACGCGGTTCTTTTCTGGTGCCATCACTATACCAATTCGACTTTTGACCGTGACCTTGAGCACGAGGTGACCGACTTTCTGTCTTCGAAGCCGCGGCGGCAGTTTTGGATCTTGCAGCTACTTTTCCTCCAATCATCTATATTTCCGCTTCAGCGACTCATGAAGATGCAGAGGTCCCTGGCAGAATGGATTGCTCGGAACGCCGAGAACGGATTTGACATGAGCCTGCTTGATTGGATGCAAGATGTCCCAGAGATCTTGATCCGAGGTCAAATGCCGTTAGCATCGTCAAATTTCGACTGTACATCTCAAAACTACAAGATTCCACCCATCAGCTACTTTGACAAGATGATGGTCATCCGCGACCTTGTTCGAGAATTTACAATGAGTGGGAGACTGACAGATGGGGAGCAATGGCTCGCTGAAGCTCTTGAGAATCAAAGAAATACCCTGGGGCAAGAGCACATCTCGACGGCATGGTTTATGAACAGTCTGGGCCTACTGTATGACCAACAGCAACGAGAGGAACTCTCAGCGCGTACTCAAGAACAAGCGCTCGCTATTCAATCGTTAAATCTTGGACCTGATCACGACGAGACAAGATGGACTATTAATGAACTCGGCCGAATATACCGTCACCTTCACCAATATGACCTGGCAGAGGACATGCATTTACGTTCACTCCAGGTCCTCCGAAACCGGTACCCCTCGGACAATCTCGAAACTGCTTGGACTTTGAATACTTTGGCGCGGACATATCGCAAGCAAGGACGATACAATGACGCTCTAGGGCTCCATGAAGAAGCCATCAAAATCCAGACGGAAAAGCTCGGCAGGGAGCATCCACATACGCTTTGGGCGATCACAGACGTGGCTCGTTGCTATCATGACCAAGGTATGCTGCAGAAATCTGCAGAGACGCACCAAGACGCACTTTTTCGACGAGAACGCGTTCTTGGGTCGAACCATCCAGACACCCTCTGGACTGTGAATGATTTGGCCATTGTCCTGGGAGAAATAGGAGACACTGATGCAGCGCGTCGTCTGTATCAAAGAGCCTGGACTGGTCAAAAAGCCCTGCTCGGTGAAAACCATCCTCACTCTCTGTGGACCAGAGAGGCGCTCAGGAAGTTGAGTGACTGAAATACGGACAGGCAATGGTTTAAGTGGAGTAGAATGACCTATATCCGCAAGACGTTATCGATTTTAACGACGGTATGTTCGTGCACAAATTTCTCTTTGTATCCACCACCTTATCTCTGGTCGCTTTGCTCAAGCACTCAGGACTGCAACGTCCCATTGCTGCCCTTTCTAGTGCTCACCTTTCTGGGCCTTCAAGTGCTCGGAAGATTGTCGAATTGCTTTCTGGTCTCCTCAGTGGCCAGTGTAAGACAATGTCAGCGGGTTTCGTGCTAGTGGTACAGTAGTACGTTAAGTCTGGCCTATCTCCCTCGCCACTTATACTTGCCTTTTGACGTAGATTAGGTGATGCACTAGCTTGGCCATCGAAAACGCGCTTTTCATCGCAAAGCCGAGAGATAGTCGAAAGCACGCAGTGAAAACTATTCGAGAAACAAGCTCACGGCAGCCTATCCTATTCAAATTACTGATAATGCATTGTTTCGCCCATGTCATACTGTGAGGGTGGTCGTCCCACTTCCAGCCTTGAAGGAGGGATTCAGATTTTGTTCCGTCGATTCAGTCTCCACGGTCGAACCTGGATAAATGGTTCCCGATAAGGACCAGGGGTCAAGACCTGAGATTGGTCGAAGTGGAATTGTCGAGAAGCCCTGTCCTTCTTAACGTTGTCATTGTCTTTCCGGAGGGGGGGGTTAAAGAACAAAGTTAAATTGAATGAGTTGGGATGGTCCTGGTTCGAGAGATTGGCAAGGCTACCAACGGGGGAGGTAATGTAGAACTGTCGGCTTAGGTTCTCTGTTCGTCACCGTCGCCATCAGTACCGAGGACGAGAACGGTATAGGTTGAGCAGGGCCAGAGTTTAGTTGGGATAGGCGGACTTTCACATACGGTCCTGTGAGGGCGAGAAGGGGTACTCGGTAGATCACCATCGAGACGCTGAGATTGAGTTGTGACGCCCCAATACACGTGATCGCGAGGCTGTGAATGCTGATGCAACAACTGGAGAGGTGAATGGAAGCCTGATTGCGGCAGAATTGTTCCTCTGTTTCGCCCTTTGAAACGGTGGGACCTAGTTCTCTTCGTCTGCACTCTTGCACTCGGAACTATGTCTTTCACGGCCCTTGTTCAAAAAAGGCTCCTACTTTCAGATGAGGCCTCCACTTCCACTCCAGACCATGTAGACGCAAGCCTCTTTGTCGACAACCAGGCCTCGCTAGTGGCACTTGCTACGCAACACGACCTCCGGCTCTTCAGTGGCGGCGTGGCTAGAAATCCGTCAGGTTTGGTGGTCAGGGTTGCACGGGGAGCCACGAACGTGGTAAACGTTTCTCGGTTGGCTGTGCCGCTCGGAGAGGGTCCTGCTCAGGATCCGGACGATCCTTCGACTGCCGCAGGCTGGCTCCCTGGGCAAAAGGTTGCTGCAAAACATTTGTTGCGGGGCAATGGTGTAGAATTTTCCAAGAAGTTGGGCTCAATGGCAAAAGAGATACGCATCCTTGGACAAGAAAAGCTCCGTCGTCACGACAACCTTGTCAACTTGATTGGCATTGATTGGGAAGGGACTCACACGGATGATCCCGAAAGCAAGACTCGATGGCCTCTCTTATTGATGGAGTATGCTGACTGTGGTTCGCTTACCGATTTCTTTACCCTCGACATCGATCTCAACTGGAACACCAAGCGTGATATTGCATATGATGTCGCATCAGGCCTAGAGGCCTTGGATGACGCTGGTGTGACACATGGGGACCTTACCTTCTCCAATGTTTTGATATTTCGATTGGGGGAAATCACCTTTCGAGCGAAATTGTGCGACTTCGGCTTCGCAATGATTAACACGGACTATGACGATTACGCCGTCCGACAACCAGGATTCACCCCTCCTTGGGACGCACCAGAATCTTCTCAAAGCATTGACCTAGACAACTTGTACAAGGTCGATATTTACGGCTACGGCCTCCTCGTCTCGCGAGTGTTCCTCCACGGCGGAGATCCGTTTGAATTCAGGTTTCAATCTGACAGAGTTCGCGAGGCAAACTCCAAAGCTGCCTGCATCAAAATCTGGAAGACCACTGACATTGTCGTCGACATTGCGAAGGATGCGGTCCGGCATTATCCAGGTCTCGAGTATACTAAGAATCAACTCAGGGTACTAGATGACATTTTTGACCTCACCCTCAGGACTCATCCTGAACTCCGTGCTCGGGAATATGCAGAGATCAAGATATTGCTGAAACCAGAGCTCGCAGATGAATACTCTCGCCAAAGGTCAGAAAACCACTCTGATCTCGCCGGGGAAATCATAGCCGTGTGTTGCTAACATCTCAACGCAGAGAGCACTTCACTTGGGAGACGATTTCTTCAGAGACTGTCGAGCCTTTATTTTCAGGGCTTCCGATCAATAAAATCCCGGAGGTACGAAAAGTCCTTCACCCCTTTGTACAGAAAGAATTCTCACAATTGCCCGTGTATGAAGATTGAGAAATGTTGGTCTCAGCTTCTACCGCGAAACATCTCGTGCGAAATGGTCAACGACTTACATCGCATGTCTTCTACTGGAATGTCGAGGGCGACACCAGATCCCGACAGTCAGGCTGCCGCCGCCGCCGCCGCATATCAATTGGCACTCTGTTACATTCAGGGTCTTGGTTGCGACACGTCTTATTCCGAAGCGTTTAAGTGGCTCGACTTTAGTGCTCGCACCGGCGATCCCAGGGCAAGACGAGATTTATATCGCCTCTCTGCAGCAATGTGTGTTCCGATTCCTGCGGACTTAATGGAAATGGTGCGAGAATGGACTTTGAGCAACGCGATTCTAGGAATAGAGCAATCTTACGAAGACCTTCTGGTCCTGAACGCAGAATTGGCTCCGTCAGTAGATCAGCAAGCTCGAAAAATCTATGGAGGGCTAGGCATTGACATCTTTACACCGGAAATCCGGGAGTCATATTGTCTAGACGATCCAGAGACGTTCGTTTCTCTCATCAACTCGGCGAATGAGTTGATTCCCTTCGAAGACATCGTATCAGGGACCTACGCAACGCAGTAGGTACAAAGGAATTGGAGTAGCTGAATGCCTTGTTCTATTCACGTAGCCCTATTGACAACGACTCAACGCTTGAGAAAAAGGAAGAGTTCTCTCTCAGCCGATTCAGGTGAGAGGAGACTCTTATAGCTTCCCCTCTTTCTGTCACGTGAAAAGGGTAAGGCAGCGTTAACCGATAGCCTTGTGCCTCAACCGTCCTTTGCCTTATCCTTTCCTTTTCTTTCTATACCGTCCACCCGATTCGGGTGGAGGGCGTAGAGTACTTGGGGACAACGGTGGGTTCGTGACACATCGATGGAGAAGGGCTGACCTGGCTGCACTACGGAGCAAGCCTTGGTTCTTTGGAAGTAGTGGAACGCTTGAGGGAGATGTCGTTGGACGATATCAATTGCACAACGAGTAGCGGTTTTTGGACACCTCTCTGGATGTCTTGTGCAGCGGGAAATACGGATGTGGTTTTATTTCTACTCAGAAATGGGGCAGACCCCCGGATGCCATCTGAGACCGGCCAGACATGTCTCCATCACCTTCAAGCCTTCCCGAATGGCGATATCGAGAAGATTGCCACGGCACTACTAAAAGCAGGGGCAGATATTGAAGCAAAAGATCATGACCAGCACAACACGCCGCTTCATTCTGCTTGTCTCCAAGCCAGAGGACCTGCGGCAGCCGTTGCGGTCCAGGTTTTGCTCAGGTACGGGGCGGACCCTTGTAGTGTTGCACGCGACGGTCGTTCACCCACCGATATTGCCGCAATGCGTTTACGTCCTGATCTTCTCCATGCTCTGCTGCAATCATCCAAATTCTCTGGGGCAGAAGGTACATTACGCAAATCTCAGGCCAAAGCTCAGGCCTTGAGCGCATTGATCATGCAACTGAAAACACAGCGTCTTCGTTATGGAGGGTTACAATTTGAAGACCACTTGGAGAATGTCTTAAACATCCTTGTTTCAACATCAACGCTGGCAGCATACGTCAAAGCACACGCGAAAGGACATCACCCGCTCCAAGACGCTTGCATCTGGGGCTCTGCAGATATGATCGAACCTCTACTTTCCCATCCTGATATTGAGGTTAACCCCGCATTTCGTGAAGGCCTTTCGTACAGAGTCGGTATGGTACCCCTGTTTGACGCCATTCGGACAAGAGATATGAACCTCTTCAGAGCCTTTTTGTCTGCTGGTGCGGACATAACGGCAAGGGACGAACAGAACAGAAATGTCCTCCATATTGTCGCAGAGTTCATGCCTAGCCTCATCGATGAGACCATCACACGGCTGAGTGACCTCGGAAGCGACCTGAGCGATCTAGTCAATTCGGGCGCCACGGGAACTGGCTTCACACCCTTCGACATGGCTGTGCAGAGCGAACATTTTGACTGCGCCCGCGTTTTGTTCAAACACGGCGCGAAATATGACAACTTCACTCGCCCGGGCATGGCCGGCGAGTACTACAACAGTTTTCAATACGCGGCTGGTTCACAAACACAGTTGAGCTTCCTACTTGGCTTGGAGGGAACTCGAAAAAATCATGGTTTGGTAGTCTGTGACAACGGGTTCACTTTATTTCACTTGGCAGCGGCTAGTTTTGACAATGGTAAGTCAATCCCAGGATTTGCCGCTGGGGAACAGGACAGTTTCTCCCGGGAGAGCTGTTGGAAGATAAACCGAGAATTGCTATCGGAGTTCCAGGAAGCGCTGATTATCGATTTTGAACAGCACTGCTCGAGACCGACCCTTCTTCGGCTGATATCACGACGTTTCTGCTTCGCCATACTGCCACCGTAGAGGACGCAAATCAGGTCTGCCATCAAGGGTCGACCCCTCTCCACGTAGCTGCTTACTTTGGGAACACTGCCGTCGCGCGCATGCTGTTGGATCAGGCTGGTGCGGACGTGAATGCGAGAACCCGGACAGGGGCGACTCCGTTCGATCATCTCATTGCTCGGGATCAGGGTCAAGGAACCGACCAGGACGAGATAAAACGAGTAGACGACCTTGAGAAGCGGACATGGAAAAGAAGAACGGAGGAGATGCGGGATCTTCTTCGGAGTTACGGTGGCTTGGGAGGACGTGAATTGGAGAGCACAAGGGCTCGGCAGGGGTCGAGGACAGAGGTTTGATCACGCCGTTCATACTTCGCTAATGCACACAGAGCCGGGAATTCTGAGCACGACTGCTTCTCGATCCGACCACTTACCCGCTACAATGACACTTTTCCAGATTATAAATCACCTTCTCCACGAACACTCTCAAGGAGACACCGCCTCTCTCGTCGTCGCCGGTTGCGGCGGCAGTGGCTGCGGTTGTATCGACACCTGTCTTAGCTTCCCGACCTTTTTGATCCCCTGTGAGCAGTTGAGGCTCCTGGCAATTCAAACATGACAAGACAGCCTCCAAATAGAACTCGCCCACCTGGTGAGGCAGGTTCTTTTGCGCCCTTTGGAGCAGACGTTGGGCAGTCTTGAGAGGCGTGGAAGACTTGGGATAGAACGAACGCAGCGGCTGCCACAGCCCGATTTCGAGCAGCATTAGGCCCAGCGAGTAGACGTCATGCCTCCGCTCGAAGGGCGGCCGGCCTTGAAGGTCGTTCGATTCGTCTCGCAGCTCTGGATGCTTGTAAATGTCGAATTCGCCGCCCTGCATATCCAGAGACAACTGCCCATCGGCGTCGGGCCGACTAACTTCGAATCCACCAATATGAGGTTCGGTCACGGAGAAGGTGTCGGTGAAACGCTTGCAAAAGAAGAGGATGTTGCCACTGTGGAAGCTCTTATGCAGCCAGCCCGCGCTGTGCAGTTCCCACAGTGACACCGCAAGGATTTGGGCAAGCTTGATGCGCTGGCTTAGAGTCGGCAACACGGCTGGACCTCCCCACGGACTTGCGTCGGACAGGTATGAGTGCAGCGACAGTGGTTTCTTGCTCACGTCGGTCTGACGAGGGATTTCAAATAAAAAGCTGAACCTCTTCAATTCCAAATGCTGAACAATCCCCACACAGTGCAACGCTCTCAGGGAGCCAGGTTTATTCTCGATGCTCAAGTCCAACGCGAGCTTGAATGCTTGATCTTGAGCTTCGCGTTGTTTTTGGATAGTGTTGGCTTGATCGTAGGATCTCGACTCTACAAGCACCCAGGCTTCTTCGAAACGTCATGCCACGTCAGCAAACAAGCCTAATCAGGATTGCCATGTCCTTAGAGAGGAGAGGGGAGTGATAGCATACCCTTTTTCTCTTCCTGCATTTTCTTATCAAGAAAACGTGTGAAATAGCGACGCTCTGTGTCTGAAGATCCGCGTTCAGAGTCGATACTTTCTGGTGGGTGAAGCAGTCTTTCAATATCTGTGGTTATGTCATTCTCATTGCTGTACTGCCGTTTTAGAGACGCTCTTTTTGACATCGATGAGTATTGCTGCGTCGTCTGCATGTGATCCAACCTGCTTAGCTCGGGAGAATCTAGGGAGAATTGATTGATGAGGTTAGAGGAAGCGATGAGATCGGGGGATTGAGAATATGGCTTGATTTTCGCTACCTCTCTTTTGGCTAGCTGGAGCCGTTGTAACAGAAAACCCAGCTGTGCGCGATCGGATACGCTCCAGCCACTGATACGGTAGAAGGTGTCTTGCCCGAGTTTCGGTGGACTCATTTCCTCAGACTGTGTCGTAGAGCTGACAATATTTAGGCCTGGTAAGCGTGATAGAGAATTTGGATTTGGCGATATATCCGCGGAGGGTCCTTGGCCATTGTTTCCCAATGGATCGGACGTCACTCGGTATCGCTCGAGGATGACCCCGAGATTTTCTGCCAGCAGTGATATCTCTGCAAGACGATGATAAGCAAGATGACCGTAAGGTACAAGTGGAACCGCACTCTCGAACTTTTGAAATGTTCCTAGCTGTCTTTCCTCGAGTCGCTCGTTCTGAGTAGCCAAAGAACCCCAGGCTCTCAGCCAAGCGAACTCGTATTGGAACGCAAATAACAAGTCTAGGACATCCTGAGTCGCCAGAGACGTTTCAATTCTCGTCGCCATAACGTCTTGCGCACCATCGACCAAAAGTTTAATCTCGTTGCGTATCAGCCAGTACTCACTTCCAGGCGAGTCTGTCAACTTTGCGATTCGAGAATGGTCTGCATGAACAGGGATCCTGCGTTCGTTTGACCAATCTAGACACGCGGACTCTCTGGGTACCACGAATGCAGGCGGGCCAGTCCTAGCCCACCTAGACTCCGGGTCATTTGGATCAACTAACTCCGGCGTATTAGTTGCGTGAGTCTCGAAGCACGTAACAATATGAAAGTCTTGGCATAGATGCGGGAACGACTGATTCAGCGACACAAGCAACGAGGATCCAGGGCATAGGTCTCTGACCAAGTCCGCAGGAGGCCTGTCACCGATTATCTTAACCAGGGCCGGATTGTTCAAGCCACGATGTGGTGCTCCGAAGAAGACAATGCCGCAAACAGACCGGTAGAAACTGGGCATCGCATTGGTGAAAGACATTGACTCGACTATGGCCTGGATTAAATCTTAGTAGGCCATTGTACGAGGGGTGGGCATTGGAGGCTTTACGGACCTGCTTGATGACGATACCACCCAAGCTGTGTCCGATTAGAATGAGAGGTGTCCGTCCCTAAGGGCATGGATAATTAGTAGTTGGATATCAGGAACCAGGAAAAGACAAGCTCAATACCTCGCTGGTATCTGTTAATCTTGCCATGGTCCTCATAAATCCCTCCGTATAGTCCCACAGACTGGCTCGGGACTGGCTCTGATATAGTTTCGAGGGATATCCGTAGATGAAAATTCTCACCCCCGGCAATTCTCGAGGGAGATAATCTCGAAGCCACATAGAGCCTTGGTCATTTGCCCAGGAATCAAAAGCACGACCAGCAAGACCCGTAATAGCTACAATGCTAAATTGCCAGGGTTTAGCAGTTATGCGGTTTAGAACCCACATTTTTGAGACTGAGAAGAGGTAGAAAGGGACAAATCACGCTCACTCTGCTCGAAGGTCCTGTGCCTCCACATGATTGAGTGGAGTCAGACTGTACAAATCTTTGTCCCACCCAAAAGTCGATATGCGTTTTTGCTTCTCGTCTGCGAACGAAGGCGAGCTGCTAAAAGTCACCGTGGCTATTTTGGACGTCCAGTTGGCCAGCGGATCAAGTGCGAGTGATACATGGAGGATCAAGGCCGCATCTTCCTTGGAAAATAATGAGAACAAGCCATTTTGATCTAGATTTGGCGGCACGGATGAAAGCCTGATGGTAAAGAATTCGCGCACACTAGAAGACATGGTCACCGCCGCAATAGCAGAAAGCGAATTTCATTGCGCATTTACATGGATCCTAGAACACAACGAGGAAGATGACGGATTGAAAGAGAGCGTAAGGCTGTGGGGGTGATTGCACAATGCCAAGGCCTGATGCAGTGGTGGCGCTGACTTACCAGAATGCACAGCAGCGAATCTTGACCTCTCCGAGATCTACTTCCGTTTCCAGACCTGAGCATCCTCCTATTCGACCTGAGTCATGACTATTATGCTGTTGTACGTGGAGAGGGTGCTGGGTGGAATGGAATAATGTCTATGACCTTGGTAAGATCGATTGCCTGACCAACTAAGAACGCCGACGTATGGCTAGTCGGCATGGACCCATCAAGAACTGTGTGGCGGTCTAACTCTACCGACGATACGCTCAGTTGGGCTATTTCCTCATACACACCGACCATCAAAGCGCTCGCCCACGCCCGCAGACAGCAGTCGACACGTCAACGAGATCGCACGGCAAAACCTCACCTGCTAATGGTGTCGATGCCCACGACGCCCAGCGAAAGAGCACTTCCTGGCGTGGCGGACAGTTCTACCATCCGAAAAAAAAAAACCCCCACCAGTACCACTACCCTTTCCCACGAGTCGTTGGCCATCTCTGTTGCTCGATCGGCGCTGGAGAGCCGGGCGCATAGTGAAATGGTACGTTTCGCCTGCCCTGGAACTTCGGATGCTCTGGACGCGTCCATCAGCTGTCTAGTGTTGCAACACGGCCCGTCTAACACTGCGACGGTTGACCCCCCGAGTGTGCAGCATAGATTGGATACGAATCTCGGTCAAGCGTCGATTCCCTATCTGTCGTTGGGTTTGACAGTGAGAATCATGCAACACGGTCGACGGACATGATCCATTTGGCGAGTGGGTTTCACGCAGCGGAGTTTGGCCACGTTGTGGCGGCCATGTGGTCATCCGTCGATGGTGCATCTGTAGATATGGCGAGTGGGTTTAAAGAGCAACCACAGGGCGATTTTGCAGGACGAGAAACAGCCCGCAGTGTGGCAGAAGCAGTCTATGATGCGAATACTGCAAATTCGGCCGAGGCTATGGAGAGTCCCACTTAGCTAGGCAGTCTACATTCGCATGAGAAGGTTAACGATAATATTACGTTACAGTATCCTTTGACATCAGCCCGAGATGGAATATAGGGAATATCTTCCGTTGGGAGATGAGTTCACGACCAACAAGAGCAAGACGACTTACGTGTACTGTTATGGGTGAGGTGTACACTGCCGCGCCTCTAATCTTGGATTGGCTCGCTAGCCGCGCGCCAACGCCCACAAACTATATATAGCCTGTTGCAACTTGTGTGGAGTACAGGGGTCGAGGGTGCTCGGTATCTGAAACGATGACGGGGGTAAGGCGTTGAAGAGTTCCACAACCTGAGATCTGAGATTCGACACACGTATCGGGTGGATGTCTTCCAAATCAGTGGCCAATAAGTATTCACTGAATGTTCACTTATATGGAGTTCAAGGCAACGCTGAGGGTCCTCATCTAATCCGCTGGAAGCTAGACCATTGCATCTGCCATGCCTTCTAAGCTGTTCTTCCAACCTCAACTTACGGTTCCATCTCAGGAGAAGGGAAGAAGGGGCTCTTGGCGTGACAAGTTTGAGATGGTCCTCCAGATCTAGGGTATCATCCCGAAACCGACCTGAACGAGAACAACCCCTTGACTTGGAGTCATCAGAAAGGTTCGTATAGTCAACGGCTTCCACAGCACAAATGACCTGACATTGGTAGCCATGTTGCTGTGTCCGGCGACAATGAGAATGCGCCTACCCTCGTGGCGTCCAACCCGCCAATCTCATCAAGGATTACCCACACCGAAATTCGAAATACTATGATTCAGGACGACAAGGCTACAGCTAGATCTACAGATCTGTGGAGCGCCACATACCTCGAGGCACTCTACAGTTTGGGAACGAAGTGAAGAGCGTGATCTTGAAGGGCGAGAAGATTGAGGCATTCCTACAAGTGTGCAACAGACCAACAAAGAACTTGCAGGCGATTCACTGTTCTGACGAGGGGCTGCGGAGATTGCGAGCGCCGCTGAAGAACTTCAAATTGGCCTTGGACCTGGCCAGTCCTCTTGCGAGTGTCCAGCCTACTGCATAAACGGCCATAGGAGTTGTGAGCTGTGTAACTGCAGTGAGTAACCCATTCAGCAAGCTTCAGCAGCCGTGTGAGATTCCAAGACGTGAAGTTAATCAACCGAAACAGATTACTATTACCATATGTGGTGCTGAGGACTCGCTGAATACTTAGATCATCCGCATGCTGGAACACGTTGCGATCATCGACGATTGTGACACCCTCGGTCGGAAGTTAGACGATGAGAACGGTATTCATAAGGTACTTTGACGTCTGGATTGGCAAAGACGATGCTTTTCGAGTTCTGATCAAGTTCTCAGGCCCTTGTTCCAGTGTATAAAGATCTCTTGAACTTTTACATTGCCGCACTAGACAAATTGACCAGCAAGGCTTTTGTGCTTGCACTAGTTTGTGACCAGCTCAGCCAGCGCCTGCCGACAATTGTCTCAGACTTTGTCGACCACGCCGCTCTTCTGCTTGACAGGGTCGGGAACGCAACATTGGAGCTTGTCACGGATATCAAGAAGCCGCTCCAAGACAATAAGAGTGAGTTTGCCCGCAGAAGAGAAGTCCCGCTTGAGCAAAAAGCTAAAGCGCCCGCCAATCCAAAGGCTCCTGGCGTCAACAAAGACAAATAACGGAGTGAGTTCCACTCTGAGCTTCGTGCAATTCGAGCCAGTGACGCTTGCGAATGGATACTGGCGGATCCCAAGTTCATTGAATGGTACAATGCTCCAAATTCGGGCCAATTGGTCGTTCTTGACCCCATGGGTTGCGGCAAAACCGTCATTACAGCACACGCTATTGAGGAGCTGATCCGCCGAAACGAACACAAATCACCTCGTCCTGTTATGTGCTACCACTACTGCGGAAAAGACGAAAGAGAAAAGGTACTCTACATCTCCTCGAGCCTGCTCCTTCAATTGCTCGATCAGCAAGAAGGCCTCAAGGTCGAGTTCAACAGGTGGTACGACAGGACCAAGCAATCAGAACACTTGGATCCGGAACAGTGTTCCGCGGACCTGGGAAAGTTCTTGTCTGCTTGTGTCGAGAATCTCGACAGAGAACTGTTTGTCGTCATTGATGCTCGGGACGAGTGTGACAGTGATTCACGGGACGAGTTGATCGTGGTGCTCGACAGCCTGTCAAACAAGATGCAGAGACTGAAAGTCTTTCTCTCGTCCCGGCCTCAGAGAGGCATCGAAGAATCTCTACAGGGAGCCACACATATTCGCTGGAGTCCTAGTCGAGAGCGGGATGCAATCATCGTAGGACACACTGTAAAGAGGTATCTCAAGAAACTCCCTCCGGACATTCAGTCCCTTGTGACCCAAATGCTCTCCCAATCGGCACAAGGGAGCGCATTCTGGGTCAAACTTACGGTCCACCTTATCCAGAAGCGCAAGATCGAAGCCATGGGTCCTATGAAAAGGTTCTTGGCAGATAGTCCTTCTCCAGCAGAGCTCTCGCAACTATACGGCAAATTGTTTGCTCACGCAACTGAAAACGATGCTGCCAATGCGCAAGTCGCCACGAGCGCACTGCAGGTTCTAGCAGTCGCTCGAAGACCCCTCAGCATACTGGAATTGAGTTGGGCTGTAGCATTGAGCGATCCTCGCGCAGACATGCGGACCTTGGTGCAGCCCGAGGCCTGTGTGGACAAAAGGAGAGTGTTGAACCTGCTGCAGCCCTTCTTATCCCAGGTTGACTTTGAGGACGACAGAAAACGACAGGTTAGACTTGTGCATCAATCCTTGAAGGAGCTGGTTCTGCGAGACGCTCCTTCTCATTGAGCCCGGTCGCAAACCACTGAGAGGGAGTCGCAGACCGATAAGTAACGCATCCACCTGCGACAGTCCAAACAGGAAGCAAATCTGCTACGCGTATGCGTCAAATGTCTTCTCTTTGATGAATTTGATGAGAACAACCTTATTCTCCGACGAACAAGAAACAATACAGAGCCTCGAGGAGATGCAGAGGTTAGATTCTCATAATAGAACAACCACTATAGGAGACCTTCCGAACGTACCTCTCGAACGTATCTACCAGTGTTGTCGAACACCTCGTCTGGCGGATCCCAAGGGCTGCCACATATCATAGCATCTAATGTCAAAGGCAACATCTACCGACTCGGACGGGATCTGATCCATGCAACGGACGTCGGCGTGCTCCGAGGTGATGCCCCCAACATGTCTATGCCTCAGCGACATAGCTTCCACTACAACTGTCGAAACATCAAGACAAATTTGGTTCTTGTCACCCATTTTGGAGAAATCCTCTGGTACTGTCTGCGGCATGATTATTCCGGTGCAGCCTCCCTCCTGAGAGTCCATGGGCGCAGAAACCTACGCTGTCTCCGGGCCCCAGATGTAGGATCCTTGGGGCTGTCTCCGCCCCTCGTACTTGGAAGAGACACCGGCCAAAAAAGGGCATGAGGTCGTTGAAAGGTCTGAACCACTCGTGGACTTGCTCATCTGGGCCGACCTTGCGTAGCGCTCATCCCAGCACTCGGAATGAGCCAGGCGCTTCAGCTCGGCTGTCGACATTGACATTGCGATGGCACTTGGGAAGAGTTCTGGCGTTGAGTTGGACCGATATTTTGCAACCTTGATGATGTGATTGGTGGCGAGCATGCATCTTTGCCAACCCTTTGCCAGGCCGATATACCTAACTCTTCAAGCCTCCTGTCAGGTAGTTTGTGCGTGCACGTGACTGTATTATGTAAGGCCGTAGCTAGCCCGCAAGGAGCAGGCGAGCAGGGTAGCCAAGAAATGTGAAGACCCTCACGCTAGTCATCGACCGAAAGACTAGCGCTACTATTTCATCTGATGAGGATCCGACAGGCTCCATGACGAGCAGGATCGCCCACAATCGAAGCAGCAACAGGGCACCTTGCTTTTTGGAGGGAGAATAATGGGGATTGGGAAAGTTGGAGAAAGAAACGATGCAGATTTGCGGCCGAGTTCGAGTTTACACGGTATTGCTGATCATCGGAAGCTAAATTGAATACGAATGTCTCCATTCTCAGTGTTGGCGGACAGATGGTCGATCACATCTTGCAGGTTGCAGATTTGCAGACAGCAAGAGGGTTACATTGTATTCAACTTCGCAAGGCCATCGGCAGCTTGGAACATTTGATTTTTCAACATTGTTCTCGTTTGTCTTCGCGGGACCGTCTCGTAATCACCGAGGAAAAGTTGGCCATCAGCTATTTCTCACTGTACAGAATCATGGTAGCCGCTGCCCAGTTTCCTTGCGTCTTTCGGCGAAGCCTTCTCCTAATGTGCCCATTCACGGTTCGGGATTTGTCACATAAGGAACTTGACCATCCTTTCGTCTCATGCATCCAGATTCTTCAGTAGCGCACGTCACCAATCAATCACCTTGCGCTTTCGATGCGACGTGGTGCACCCAGGCGGGATCAGTCGCTTGACCGATGTTGGTCACTGTGTTGCGCATCTGTCAAGAGGTCTCTGCTGGGGCGAAGAAGCGTTGGTTCTCCCTCCCACACCTGACTTCTGCACGCTGTCCTCATCACTGCTGCTATCGTCTGAAGAAGAACAGGATGTGCCATCGATCACTTCGACCACCTCCTTCTCGGGACTATGTGCCGCTAAAGCCGGAGCAGCACTGGGGTTGGCCTTTCCCTCCAACTCGGCAAGCTTGTCTCTCTGTTCTTTCAGGATCCTCAGCAACTCGTCCTGAATGGTCTTTTGCGCCCTCTGAGTTTGCAGGACCTGTTGCCTCGCCAGGTCGAGGATCGTGTCTCTGGCGGTCGTGAGCAGCACGGCCATCTCGGTCGGCTTGGTGCCCTCCTCTCGTTCAAGCTTCCCAAACACGCGGTCAAGGCGGACAGTTGGAAGGCTCTCGCGAAGTTTCTTGACAGCATTGGCTTCGAGTTCGACTCGGCGTTTAAAGGCCCTAGCCTCTTCATTGTCACGTTTACGCTTCCGGGATTCTGCTGCGGCAACTGGGAAAGGAGTTAGCTACCTCGCGCGTTCATTAGAAGCAAAAGTTCAACGAGATCTTCGTCGTACCTGCTTGAGTCTCCACCGGTCTGGACAACTGTTTCTTTTTCTTCTCCTCCTTGCGTTTCTTCTTTTCCTCTCGTTGCCTAGTCTCTCCCTCATGGTGTTGAGCTTTGCTAGTGTCGGCCGGCTTCTTGTCTTTCTCCCTGTCTGGCTGCTTATCCTTCCCCTTCCCTTGACTAGACTTCTTCTTAGCCTTGTCTTTGTCCCTCGCCTCCATGTGACCCGGAGTTGGGGTATCATCACGCTCAGTGGTATCACTCCTGCCTGAACTTTCACCGTCATCTGGGTCCAGAATCCCAAAGAAGGAAGGACGAGTGTTCGCACGATTGTTAGCCAACGCCAACTGTTGAAAGATGTAAGCGGGGTTCGATTTCGGATCTTGAGGGACGTTGACTGTGGTGGTTAGACGCGATCCTCTTTCTACGCTCTTTCTTATCGGGAATCCGGGTGACAGTGGTGTCGGCTTCGAGCTTGAGCCAGGTGCGACAGGTGCGACGGGCGCGACAGATCGTGCTCGTCTGGCCTGGTGAGTCCATGGATCGGTCTGGGTGAGATCAATAATGTCTTGCGTGAAGGTGCTGGACTTTTGTGGGGTGGCACTTGAATGACGCTTGCCATTCCAGTGTTTCCGTGATCTATCTTTGGCCATTGTCGGTCCAAGGGTGAACGAGCAGATAGTCACCGACTTTTGCCCAAGTCAAAGTGAGGACCGATTGAGAGTTGATGTCAAAGCTTGCTCTGGATGAAATCGTTTTTTTCAGTCACCGGCCGACGCCAAAGGCGAGGAAGATAACGGACAAGAGCTGAAGTCGAAGGTGAATACTCGATCTGTGATTCACTTTCTGGTCAGCATGCGCAGATTCGGAGGTCACAGGAAGGAGTGACCTTTGATTAATTCTTACCGGGCAAGGGCAAGGTGATGGGATCAAGTGAGGGAACTAACAAGGAAAATCTCTCCTCGTGGATGATCCCGAGGGGTTTTGGCTGTTGGCAGTCAACTGGCCACCAGATTCTGCCAGACCTTCCGGAAAGAAGGCCAGGGATAAATTCCATCTGAGCAAGAGGAGAGGTGGAGGTTCGCGTCTCACACCATTGCAGATGACAACATGAACAAGCATAGCTCTGAAAAAGGAAAGAAATCTCATTTCTTGGAATCAGGCTTATCTGAGTTTGGATCATTGTAAAAATCATAAAAGCCTGTATGTACTCACAAAGGGTGGTAGAATGGACTCTTTGTCTCTCCTGCAAATGTGTCGATCCATCTCAGATATCTTTGATATCATAAAGCACTTTTGTTATCCAACAGCTAGCATTTCCCTCACATCGCCATTAGGCTCGGCTGTGTCGAGCTTCTCAAGTCTAGCCCAATTCGCCCAGATATCGGCCTTCATCTCCTTCAGTCGCTTGTGCATCTTCCACAGGTCGCCCATGTCCTTATCATCTCGTTCCTTCTCGTCGGTTTCGGATATCTTATCATAGAGATCTTTGTATCGTTTATAGTACTTTTGAAACCGTCTCGCCTCCTCGATGACATCGGCTCGGCTGGGTCCAGGTTTCTCAGGACTAGACGAACGTTCAGAGTCGGTCCGGACTGGAACAGCAGGGCGCTTCAGCGCTGGGTGCTCAGCTGTACCGTTCGTCAGAGGAGTTGAATGGCTTGAAGACGGTGTCTGTTGCTGCTGCTGGCGTTTTGCGGGACGTTCCTCATCGGTAGGAGCAGCCTTGCGCTTCACGGGGCCCGGACCAGGACTCCTGCCTCGAGACACGTTGCGACTTTTGTCTGAGATGACGGGGGAGTATTTATTGCCCTGTTTCGTTTGAGGCATGTCAGTGCTGGAGGGTGGAGATGATGGAGCCGAAGACTGGTTGGATGCTTTGCTAGAGCCAGAATTGTCTACATCGGTCGAGGTGGTGGGAGGTGAAGAACCCAGAGGTGACGGCTTCTGCGGTGAACTGTCGTGTCGTGGGCGAGGAGAAATGCGGGAAGCCGTACTTTCCAGTTTCTGATGATTCTGAGGTTTCAGTGACTTTGAAGCGCCTGCGACCGCAGGCCGAGGCTTATCACCCGCGCTGTTGCTCCCGCTGGATGAAGACGCATTTGAAAGTGAGGCTTTGTGGGCAGCCTTTTTGGGGGAGGCGGTTGTTAGAGGCGACTTGGTCGATTTGAGTGGGCCGTGTTCGGGTTTCCTCTTCACGGCCGAAGTTGACTTCATTGTCCCTGCGTCCTGTTTCTTTGGCTTGGCGACAACTTCTGAAGCTGCTTCGGCTTCCTCATCAGAGTCCTCAATGCGTTCAGAGGACTTGAATTTGGCATCTGGTTTTGCGACCTTGAGGTGCGAGGTCTCCTTGTCCTTGCCTTTGGAAGCACCACTTGGATCGCCCTTGGCCGGACCCTTGGAGGTGGTAACTTTGTCCTTGCGCTTTTTCTCTACAGTGGCTGGGTCTCTATCCTTCTTTATTCGTGCCTTAGCATGATCTCGGTCCGACACCTCATTCTTACTCTCGTTGCCGTCCTCGTTCGAACGCTCCGGCTTAGGGGTGGCGTGACTGGATACCGGCTTGTCAAAGTTCAGCTTTGACAGGATCTTGCCTTTCCCCCGTTCCTCTGGAGGAAGCAAGAGCTGCCAGAGAGGATCTTTCTTCTCCACTCTCATCCGGTCGTATGCTTGGATGGCATGGTCAATGGCTGCCTGTCTGTCCTCATGCGACCGATAACGGAATTTCCAGACATCAAGTTCGCGGTAACTCTTTTCCTTCAACTCTCTTTTCCCATCCTCTGCTTTCGCCTCCCATGACACCTTGTCGAGCAGTTTCTCGAGGTCCTCCTTGGTCGTATGCAGTTGATCACAGATTGCTTTTGGCGTCATTGGTCGAACGGCCAGAAGATGCACGAGTGGTATCCGGATAGCATCCAGTCGTATCCGATCCTTCGTCGAGATCCCAGGGGCCAAAGGAGCTGAGGTAGGGCCCAACCGCGGAGAATAAGAGGCGCTCAGAAAAGGGCTCCCCGGTGTAGATCGGTTCAAGGGCCCTAACAAATGATCTTTCCTCAGAGCAGAACTCTGCCCCAATAAGGGTGATGGCTTTGCATCTTTTCTAGCTCCGTGCTTCAGGTCCTCTTTCAAGCTGGTCTCATTCGACGCACGTTCCTCCTGTATAGATTTGAGAGTGCTCTCAAGGGTAGCTAAGGCTTCGTCGGCTTTTGCAGTATCCTGTTCGGCTTTCTTGACCTCAAGCCTATGGCTTGACCTGCCGCTGAAGTATAGAGGGGTTGTATTATCTTTGGACTTGGTGTAGATCTCGGTGGGAAACGTATCAACGTTGCTTTCCAGAGTTACCGTCTTCTTGCCGAATTGTAGCTGTGGTCTTTTGCCACATCGGAAACGAACTTGCTCATTATTTTTCAGAGACCGAAGTATATCCTTGGTCACGGACTCAACCAAGTCCAACCGGATCACTTGCGTAGGTTCTTTAATCTGTTTACTCTGTGTATCGTGTTTGGACTTCCGTCGCAGGACAAGCCCCTCGGGGGGGATATTGAACAGATCCATATCGGTAAGAAGAGGGAATGGATTTTGTCAACGTAGGAGGATTGTGGTAGGGTTTGCACGGGTCATTCCTGGTATTTCGAGATTCAGCAGGCGGAGTCAAGGGAAGATAACGGTTAAGAATGGTGGGCTCGCTGCACAGCGGTGACAGCAGCTGGCAGACGGCGTCATGACATAATATTAGAACAAAGTGAATGGCAGTGAAGCTGAACAAACGGAGCCAAAGAGGGAACAAAGCCACGATCCGTGACAGCAGAGGCGAGGTCAAAGGTCGAGGACGAGGATGAGAAGCAGGACAAAGGCATGCTGACGATTATTGGAGGGATCAGCTGTGGGGAGAGGACGAGGATGAAGCGACCTTGGAAGCACGCGGTCGGACAGTGGGACAAGCCGTCTGTGTGTGTGGGTGAAAAGGCTCAGGGCGCGGGAGCGGTTGCCCTTCGCTCAAGAGACGATTAGGCTCTGTCCGCCTGAGAGACCAGTGAGGACACCAACGGTGCCAGAGGGCAAGCCAGCGCGGCGGAGAAGGTTGAGGGAAGCCAACGAGCGCCCTAGGGACGTCCCAAGGCAGTCGACAAACCAGGGTCAGAAGCCATCGAGCCCATCGAGGCCCATCTTCGGTAACTCTGGCACCGCTGACTGGCTCGCCCACGCCAGGCGTGAGCCACATTTTTCATTTCTACGCCCGCAGCGGCTAGACTGCCGCCTTTCCGGGGCTTTCTGGGTTGTGTCAGCACTGGAACAGCAACTGAAGGACTTTTCCATCCATCACACGCAACATCTGCCCGAGGCTCGAGCCAGCCACCTGGAAAGTTTGAACACCACCCGCACCCTCCTCCCGTTCTTGGCCTGAATGAATAAATGCACACCTCGAAAATTGATCGGAAAAGTACTCATGCGCCGAGAGGCAGCAAAGGAGGCGTGTTTCAGGGCGGCGAAGGAAGGCAGGATCGGATTGATATGTTTTAGAATTCTCGGCCCTCCCTGGCTGAGCTCAAATCTTGCAAAGGCGTCTAAAACGGGCATGACCAAAGGGATTGGATAGTATCGAAGGGGCCGGGGGGCCGGCCTTCAATCGCCAACCGGTTTTGCCACTGACGACCCTCGATTGTGCTCGGGTTCGCTCGCTCGCTTGCTTCCCCTCGAGGTCAACCTGATATCAACATTTCACAGCCATTATATCCATATCCAGTACTTCATACTCCGTGAGTACTCGGTACATGTCGATCCCGCATCCAGTCCTGCAGATTGACAGGTTCTGGGATGGGAAAATGTGGTGTGAGGGCAATCCAGCCAAGACACACAGGTACAATACCTAGGTTCTGCTTGTGCAGGCGGAAAATGATGCATTTGCCCTAATTGAGAGAAGCTGGCTCCGTAGGGCTTCGGTCTACGGGTAGGACCGTACCAACAGAAGGAAAGCTACTCTATTGTGCTCCAAAGTCCCGAACAAGAAGCCGTGCCTCGTAAGATCTTACGCTGGATATGCTGACGGGACAACTTCCTCTTCTGCAGGTCACCGTTGACTCCATGGACAAACCGGCCTTCTGGTTCAGGTACAGTGGCGCGGAAGCAAGACACAGCAGGGCTTGCTTGAAGACATGCAGGGAAAACCAAGTCTGTGACACCTGGCGCCCGACAAATAAGCATGGGGCAATCCTGGCACTTCAACGTCAGGCGCCTTGGCATCATGTCAGTACCCAAAGCACGGAGTATGTACATACTCTCTGCGTACGATTACCGTAGAAGTTGGAGCTAGTAGACTGCGGCGCTGTCGATTTGTGCTCAACTTACCTAGATAAAGAACTCAGAGGCCCTTCTTCCATCTTGGGTGCTGATGGCTGCTGGTGCGGAAGAACATTAATAACGGTGTTGCATTGACCTTTGATCACCGTGCAGACAGTGGGAGGGGGTGCGCTAAGGCAGGTTCGGAGGACCGGTTGCAGGTATGCCCAAAGAAGAAACTTACAGTACATACTTCCGAAGCCTTGGTGTGCCTGGGTGGGCCAGGGGACACTGATGGGGATTGCTAAACGGAAGGCCACCCCGGCGGGTGCCCGGACGCCTCCCCATGCTTTGCAACAGGCGGCATTTTGCAGGGCCCCAGGCTGGTGGGCGCTTAACTGCGCCAAAGTCTCGTGCTCGACGCCTCTTTAGCCTGCTGGCCCTCACCATCTGGAGAAACGCCTGCCTCGCCGCCTTGTTCGAATTTGTCCATGCTGCATGCAGCCTCGTGGATGGCATTTTCTCAAGATCCCCTCTGATGCTCGTATATACCCTTGCGCCTAACTGACCTGGCTCATCAGCGTTCAATATGTCTCTAGGTACGTCCATACTCTCGCTCGCGTTGATATCTTCCCGGTCAAACATTCAAGACGCAAATTCTTCATCCCAGAACCGCTGACTTTTGCGCAAGCCTTGGATGAACATACTCTCCAGAATGTAGCCAGCAATGGTGAGATGGACTAGTGTGTTCGCTCCATTATCCAGCTTTGAACAACCTGAGACTTACTTCATATTAGCGAAAAGTGGCCAGCCATCATCGAACCACTGCTCCAGCGACTCAATGAGGTATTATCTTCCACGCATATTAGCCCTCCTTTGTTTGACACCATGTATAGATCGTATATACGGAATTCCCTACGCCACGACCGTATCCTACAATAAATCGACGCGCTCCGTCCTCACCGACTCAAACACAGCCTGCCCAAATCGGAGATTCCAATCACAATTCACAAACACCATCCACACCCTTGCGGACTCTTCCTCCCGTCCCACCTTTCCCGACCTCATCAGCAACCTCAACGAGCCATGTCCCTGATTCGCTCCCTCAGTCACAAGACGTTGCCCCGGCTGCTCTCAATGAGCTTCCTGCTCTGTTGCTGCAGATGCTCAATAGCGTAACCCATACACTTCGATCATCATTTTCCGAAAGACCACCTCACACGATACAGCGGCTGGCAGAGCTCATTTTATACCCCACAAAACATTACAAAACCCTCCCTGCATGGTTGCGGGCCATCGACCGAGTCGTCAGCGTTAGCAGTCCTGCAAATATTTTTCCGCTTTCCGAAACTCCGCCTGTGGTGAATGGCGTCAATGGAGATGGAGGAGGAGGAATCCTTTGGAATAATGGCGATGTACGCAATGGTTATGACAGCAATTCATTGGGCAGCGACGAAAGTCTAGGCGGCGCGCTCTTGACTCCAATACCGTGGCTGCGGAATGGAATGGGTGGTGGCGAGGATTCAGGCGAAGATTCAGGCCCGCTAGACTCAAACACCAGCACCAGCACAGATGGGCTGGATGATTCCCTCACGTTGTCGGTCACGCAAGGCAATGGAGATCTCCTAGTACCTGAGAGGCCCGATGGCGCAGTCACACAAGGCGAGTTGATTCGCATGGAACAGGAGGCTGGTGTCGTGCCCGTGACCCGAAACCCTCCAGACACACACGTGAGCGGCACAATGGAAGAGAACTGCCTCATTGACGAAGGAGATGTGGTGCCTCACGCCCGCGGACCCGACCTCGTGGGCTCTGTGGATATGGGTAGAGTCGATGGCCAAGATGTGGAAATTCACATTGGAAGTCCATCGGGTGAGGAGGGAAAAGAGAGGGGAATAGATGCGAATGATGGACAGACCGTCCTTCCTAGAGACGCCATCCCCGTGGGCTCCACAGCCACAGAAACGATATCGAAAACTGGGACCGGGTCAACGGCTGATTCAGAGGATTTTGAAATCGTTCTCAAGGACGCTGTTGAAGGTGGTGATGTGGACGCCATGCAACTTGACGAGAGTAGAACAGACAGCGAGAATCAGCGCAAGCAGCTACTAACGGAAGATGGCGACATTGTTCTCGTAGATGCAGACGGAAAGACCGAGGACGAGTCGAACACCGGAAACCCGGGTGAGAATGTCGGACCCGATGCTGTCGATGCCAGGAGGGTCACTTGAGGCAATCATTATCTGCACCAAGTCTAGGGACATATGCGAAAACCCTCCAAAAAAAATATTTTCAAACATATTGATCCAAGTCTGCTAAGTTGCTTGAATCTACCTCCTGGCGAATACGGCTTCACCACGGTCGTACCTACAGAGATCTAACCTGATCTCGACCGCTGAAAAAAGATGCTACATCAGACAGAACATGTATCGTCCAGACAGCCACCTTGGCCAGTGCATGATTTTACAATCCGCTAGGTCGAACTCGATTCCAGAACCTACTCTGGAAGTTGGGAACGAACAGAAGGCTACAGACAGAGTTCCTGACTCCCCTTTTCGCAGACGAGTGTCTAAATACGTTCGGCTGGATGGGCGCCCTAGTGCGAAGCGAGTGGCTTAATCAGTTGACCAAAGCAGAGGTGAGCTGGCGGACGGAATAGCTACACCACGTCTTGCTGCTTGATATGTATCTTGTATGAGGCAGAGAGAGGGTCGTTCCTCTAGCAATGGGAGACGGAAACGACCCAAGAGGGAGGTTGTCCACTTTAATGCAATGGAACATCAAATTAGATGCGTATATATATGTATATACCTTGCATCGTCCTAGTCTTGTTCGTGTTCGTATGCAAATAAATACATCAGTCACCTCCGCCTCTCTTCTCTATGTGTCCCCTTCTCATGCATTCATTACTATTGTACATCGAGCTATGTCGCGTCGGGGGTATATAGAGTGGTGTTCGTGGCTTTGTGTGTATACTTCTCGGGTGGAGGCGAGAATGCTACGCGACCAGGCTCGAGAGGTGGTCCGACTTTGGAGAGAGACACTCGTCGGACAGGGGAGGCCGGGATGAAACAAACTGAACTGTTAAGGCTTTGAACTCCTGCATGCATATGCAGGATTCTTTCAGCCTCATCCAGGGGCAGTGTATCACATCGGCCCCCTTCTAGTTCCTCCCTCTGAATCCCGTTGCGGTCAGTCGCGTGCATGCTAAAGCGCATCAGTTTCGAGGCTTGCTCTTTACGTCAGCTCCGCCTAGCTAGTTTCATGCTTGACAGCAGAAGAAGGTCGAATGCCGCCATCGCCGACAGTGCTGGCAATCGTCGTCCTTAGACTGTCATTTCCTCCCACTGAATTGGACAGGGCTACTTCAGTGGCTGCTATCCCGTTGATGGTAGCTGTGGACGCGGATACCGTAGGACCCCCATTTCCTACCGCGGTTGATTCGGCTCTTTCGGCCTTTACCGTTTCTTCCGCGGTGGCTGTGGTCTTCGGCACGGATACCGCAGGGTTGGGATTTCCCGCTGCCGTCGAGGCTGCTTTGGCATTTCCTGTCTCGCTGGTCTTGCCTGCAGGCGGCATACCACTGGCATCTCCTACTACGGCAATTGACGACACTCGGTCGGCAGCTCCTGTCTCGGCAGTCTTGGACGTTGCAGGACTAGCATTTCCCAGCGCACTCGACGATACTCCATCTGTTACGGCCTGCTTCTTCTTCTCCTTCTTTGCCCACCGCAGCCCGCAAGCATTGCACAACGTCTTCGGACCGTTGGGGCCTTTCCTCCACTCAGGACTATCGAGCGTTCCACAATCTGTGCAAACGTACTCCTCGGCACTCTTCACTTTCTTGTGCTTCTTGTCGATGTATGAGTATCGTGCATCGACTTTTTCAATGGGAATTTGAATACCTGCATCGCCACGAATGAGTGCAGGGGAGGTGCCACCGGTCGATATGCCGTGGGATCTCTCGCCCTCGCGGTAGCGGAGACCAGTCAACATTTCAATGGAGTCGACGTGTGAAGAGCCTTCATATCGGGCCATTTTGTCCCGTATGGAGTCTGGACGAGCAAAAGCATTGGCCTCATCCAAAGCCTCGCGGGTGAGGGCGATGTTTGACACTGTCGGTTTTGCGGGCGGTGGCATGCCACCATAGTCGGTAAAATCCGGCCTAGTAGTTGTCGCAGATGGTGATGTGGGTGGAATGTCGGCTGAATTTGATGACGCTCGTGAGGCGGTGACTCCGGCGGCTTGCTTGTGATAATGCTCTTGCTGGGCGTCCCTGTCCTCGGCTTCCTCGCGCTTTAGAGCGGCAATCCTCGCTTGGAGCCTGAAGTTTTCAATCTTATGCTCCAGGAACGAATCCAAGAGCTCAGATGTTCGAGTTGGATACGGCCGGGCCATCATGAAAAAGCCTCGACAAAATCCTGTACTCAAAGGTGGTCCTGAAATAGCGATTTGAGTGATCTCTGTGGTAAGATGTGGATGACCATGGCACTCAAAGATACGGTATTTGTCTTCGATGCCGCGGAACCTGTGGAAGAAGCGAACAGAGTTTCCAGTAGCGATGCTCTCGTTGAATTCGCGAATAAAAAGAGAGGAGTCGTCGGGATGTATAAAATCAGATATTGATTTGTCTATCAGTTCTTTCGGGTCGTGGCCGGTCAATTGCTTGGCCGAGGGCGAAACGTAGAGAATCCGGCCGTCAGGAGTTAGGATATACAACAAGTCTTTGAGCTCCTCGAGCAAGCGCTGAGTCCAATTCTTTCTCCTTGTGAATTCGGTCACAGTGTTGCTCGAGTTATGCGCATGTTGGAATGCAAAGTCGGTGGGTAATGGTCCAGCACCTATGCCATTGGCCGGCATGGAACTGTCAGGCGTATCGGGTTTACTCGAGCCATCCTGCATCAAGCTTGACGGCATGGAATCCATTGGGTCAAAAGGTGCGGGTTGCATCGAGGCCATATCGAGGGACAAGGGGTCAGAATATACGCTGATGTCTGCGCTGCCGACGAGCGATGCATCTAGCAAGGCTGGTTGGAGGGTGAAAGAGTCCATCATGGAAGATGGCTCGGGCTGGAACCCCCCCATTACGCCAAAAGAGAAGAAGCTGTGGGTCTGGAGCTCGACGCCTTATTGTCGGTGTGCAAGGTTTTTCCTTTCTACCTGATTTGGGGGACCAGCAGTTTGTCGGTACCTAATCCAGGGGGGCTCACTGAAGCAAAAGCGGTCTCTCCCACCAACTAGGAGCGCGGGGGAGGTTGGTGAAGCAAAACCAGTAGTGGAGGGCTCGGCCGCATACGGAGAACAGTCGCACTCATGAACGGAAAAAGCACCCGAGGAGGGGGCCTTGGAAATGACTTGAATGGCCCAAAGCTTGAGATGATAGCGAGGATTTGTGGTCTGATGGAACTTCGATGAGTCGATGAAACGCCGAAGAGAATCAAGATCTCAAGATGGCTTACAGATCAAGATGTGGCCACGCCACGTGACAGCGAAGCCAACCTGGCAACAGCTCGCCGTCTCCGCCAAGGGCACGTGACTAGGCGCCTGTGGGGTCCGCCACCAGGGCGATGCTCGAAACCAAAGGCAGCCGCGCTAGCAGCCTGTCGGCCCACGTGCCAACATCGCGTTCTTCGCTTTCACACCAAGACGATCGTCAACCCCGACTGTTCTGTGCTTAGATAGGACAAAGGAGGTCCTGTCAACACTCACCTATAGGAATTGTCTTGCCTTGTTGAGGACGCCTGTCCATCCCCCACAACTTGCAAAATTCCTCTCATTGATGCCCGCAACAGTCTGCTCTTCCTGGCCTTCTCCTGAGCTGCGTCTCATCCAATTGTCAAACGTGGTCATCCATACACCTCTGCAAGGATGTCCCGGCTTCACGTATTGAAGATTTCGGGCATTCGTTCCTTCGACAACAACCAAGAACAACATATAAAGTTTGAGACCCCGCTGACTCTCATCGTGGGCCAAAATGGTTCGGGGAAAACTACCATCATCGAATGCCTAAAGTTTGCCTTCACAGGAATGCAGCCTCCAAACACCAAAGTCGGCGGTGCCTTCGTCCATGACCCGAAATTAAACAGCGACAGTCAAGTCAAGGCCCGGGTCCAAGTCTCCTTCAAATCAGCCTCTGGAGCTGCACTAACTGTTTCTCGGCGCCTGGAGCTGAACGTGAAAAAGACCACCCGTTCCTTGAAGACGTTGGAATGCTCGTTAGTTGTGAGCAGGCGGGGCGAGAGAACCGTCGTGTCGTCTCGGGTTGCCGAATTGGATTTGATCCTTCCACAATACCTCGGTGTATCCACCGCCATCATTGACAATGTCATCTTTTGCCACCAAGACGAAAGCTTCTGGCCTCTGAGTGATCCTACCACTTTGAAAAAGAAATTCGATGAGATTTTTGAGGCACAGAAATATACCAAGGCCATTGAAAACATCAAACAGATTCGGAAGAAGCATAATGAAGAGTTGGCCAAGTATAAGATCCTGGAGGATCATGCGAAACTGGATAAAGCTCGAGCCCTAAAAGCTCAAAAGAGAAAGGAGGCTCTTTCAGATGAGATTGAGAAACTCCGGAAGAAAAGCGAGGAGCTGCAGCAAAGAATCGATCATGCTCGGCGAATGGCAGATGAAACTTGGAGAAAGGGCGAGGAATATGCAAAAATTCTCGGGGCGTTGGAAGGAAAGCGAATCGAGGCTCAAGGCAAACAGGCTACCATTAACGATCTCAAACTCCACTTAGAAGAAGTCCGTGAGACGGACGAGTGGCTGCAAACAACCCTGTCCCAATTCCAAGCCCGACAAGAAGAGCTGAGAGATGAGTTGAGCAAGAAGCAAGAGGCATACATCGGGCAACAAGACCAGATGAAATTGCTGGGTAAACAGCGCGAGGAGAAAGTGAAGTTGAAGGGCAAGTACGAACAAGAGAAGGAGGCACACGAACGTCACCTTGAAAGACGTAAAGAAATGGTGAGAGAAGCCGCTGTGAAACATCAGATCCGTGGGTACGAGGACTTAGAGGACGACAATCAAGTCGAAGAGTTCCTGGTCAAGATCAAGAAGATGTCCAAACATCAAAAAGAAGATCTGGATCGGGCGAGGCTTGAACACACCACACAGCGACGGGATGCGCAGACTCTCATCAACAAATTGACTGAGCGAAAGTTAGCTCTTCAAGATCAAAGAACCACCGCGAGAAAGCAGATAGACTCGAACGATCGCGAAGCGG